AAGAAGAAGAAGAAGAAGAAGAAGAAGAAGAAGAAGAAGAAGAAGAAGAAGAAGAAGAAGAAGAAGAAGAAGAAGAAGTCATAAAACTTACTAGTCCTACAGAAATCCTGCTTTTCTTGTTTTGTGTTGGTGGAGGACTGGAATCATATTTTGAATTCAGAAACTATAAGGTAACTGAAGGGCATGGTCAGAGGAACAAGCTTACCTTGGGAATTACATAATTTCTGAATTTAACATTACAGGTAGCTGCATGGGGCACATTGTTGGGGATGAGGTTAACGTATCTCTGGACCTCATGCACCATTGCATCTGTGTAGGGCATTCGGGTCCTGTCCTGCATGCAGGGACTCCTGTTTCTGCCAATCTCATGATCAATCTCTTTCTGGACTTTAGCTGATAGGGAACAATTGAGAAATGGTACAGTTGTCATAACAATTCACATCTATGTGAAGTATGTTAAAGGCATTGGGCCATCTGCACACTTACAATTAGAGAATTACTATAATTCACAAAACTATCCCACTAGTTAGGTATTACTGTGCAGACAGATATATTATTGTACAGATTAATGAATATACTGAAATGAAATGTTTCAATATGTAAATTTCATGTACTATGTAGTTGGTAGCTTTTATGTATCTCACCTGGTCCCACAGCTGCTTATAAAATAATACTCTGGAGCTTAATAATAATAATAATTGTTTGGCTAATGGCTCAGGCATATTACTAACTAGCTCTCATGATTAAATTAACTCATTTCTATCATTTTATAATTTACCAGGAAGCTCGTGGCTTGTTACCTCACATCTTGTTTCCTGGTGGCTACATGGTGTCTTGCCAACACGGCCTTTCTCTCTGTAACTGTTTGAATTTCCCCCTGGCTCTGTTCCACCTAGCCATTGGTTAAAATATCTTTATTCATCAGTCAATAAAAGCAACACATATTCGCAGCGTAGAGAAGGACATCCCACATCAATATATAAATTCTAATGATTACTCTTATGAAAAGCACAAAACAAAAATTAATTTCATGTCGAAATCACAGTGGGGCTTTAAAATGGAACCCTGGAGCTGGAGGTATATTTTGGTGGTTGAAAGCACTGACCTGTCCCCCAGACAACCCAGATTTAATTCCTAGTACCCACAGGTGGCCCACAATCGTCTACAACTCCAATATCAGGAGATCTGATGCCTTCTGGTCCCTGTAGGCACCAGGCATGCACTGGGTCTGCAGACATATGTGTAGGCAAAACACCCATAAACATAAAATCAATAAATAAAAATTTTAATTGAATACTAATATATGTATTGTGTACTTATGCATATGTGAAACTTAGTATCTTTTTCATCCTTACATTTCCCAAAGACATTTACTTTGAGACATCCTAGTTTTGTCTGTAGTTTCTGATTACATTTATAAATAATAACTATTTCTATTATTTTATAATACTATTTCTGATCAGTTTTTCAATAAAGATGCATTATACTCCTATGACCACTTCACGCAAAATATATAAACTCACACACACACACACACACACACACACATAAATACATGCATACATATACTCATACATATATATGCACACATACACACACAAACATAAACACTCCAGACAGTACCCAGAGTATCTTTTTGTTGAATTCAGAGCTTTGGTGTTTAACTATTTCTCAGAGTAACTGTTCTTCCCTTTCTCATTTTTTCTATTATCAAAATTGGTCTTGTTTTTTTATCTTATCTTATGTGTACAAATGTCATCTAGTGACACAAAAAACATCAATATTAAAACTTCTTTCAGAGATGTCTAAAGAAGACTAGCTTTGCCTCACACATGTCAGAGTCATACCTGTGACCTCTGTGTGCTTCATGAGGAGCAACAGTCCATATCTGAGGGTAGTACTTGTGGTTTCTGATCCAGCTACAAACACGTCAGCCACAGTAGCCATCAAGCTTTCAGTAGTAAACTCAGAGTGTGGATTGTCCTTTTCCTAAGAATTTTTATTTGGTTATTAGATAGTGACCACTATATTAAATTGTAACAAGTGCTACTAATACAGGTTGCCCTACAGGTAAGCAAATTTAGAAAGTTAAGGGTGTAGCAAAAATATTACAGCAAGTATACAATATGTCAGACAATGTAAATTACCTAACCCAATCTTCATTTCTATTTCCTTATTTCTTCCTTGCATCAAAATCCAATTTCCTGAACCTTCTTATAGCTATGTTAAGCCATAAAAACCATGTCACACTAATAACATAAGAAAAGAACCCAATGATACAAATTTCTCATCCCTTTATACTTAAAATATATATAGCCCTAGTTTTTTCCCTTTAATCTAGTCACTGTAGATGTAATCTCTAGAGCTCAGAGGTCTCCCTTAATCAGCTAACATTTGACAAAAATGCTAATTCAGATCAAATGCCACCCATTTTCTTTCTGCAGCCAGTTGCCATGGCTAGTCAAGATGCTGTGTTTCTGGCTGTTGCAAAAGCAAAAGTGAGTGCTTAGAAAGCACAGCGCTATGGCATCTCTTCCCATTTTTCTACATTTACCAATTAAAAACTTCTAGCTTAACTAGTTACACTTAAGAATGTAAGTTTAGCACACACACACACACACACACACACACACACACACACACACACACACCAAAATTCTCTTCTTAGAATTCTATACTGATTTAAATCTCCCTCCTTAAATGAGACTTCAGTATTTACCAGGGAGTCTCACAGACAAGCCCCCTATGAGACATAAGTAAGATAACAGGTACCCACTTTGTCAGCCTTATCTATCTTCTTGGCCCTAAGAAATGCATGCCTGGTATCCTTGCTATTGCCAGAGAATTGCTAACTCTGTGTGTGGGTATATAAACTGAAAACCTTGTGGGATGAGAGATTATTAAAGAGCCATGATGAGAAGAGAATGTGTATGAGCTAATTCCTTCACATTCAGATCCCTTTACCTATATCCTGTGCTTGCTGAAGCATCCTGTCTGAATCCTGGGGGAGCATTGAGGCTGGCACTCTAAAGGACCCTGTTAATATTGACATAGGAAAGTAATAGTTTTCTCAGTCACCAAGACAGCCAATTTTAGACTTCAGAACATAATCAAAACAAGCTGGTTGCCCCTGGAGATGAATATCTGCTTTCCCCTAAAGACAAATACACAAAGTCATTTTCCCAGTTGTTTATTGCTGATTCAAGGTTAGCTTGATGTGATAATATCTCACTTGAACAAATAAAGCCTGTCTGGGGGTGAGAGAATGGAGCTTGCCACTAGCTAACCATAGAGGTCTGGAAGTCTGTACAGACAGACAGGAAGTGAGGTAGCTAAGCAGAAAAGGATATAAGCTGCTAGAAACAGGAGATCGCTCTCTTGTCTGCTGAGATGCTAAGGAGTTAAGGTGTGCTGTGGCTTGCACTCCTTCTCTCTAATCTCTTAGCATTTCCCTCAATATCTGATTCCAGCTTTTTATTATCTAGACCAATTAAGAACTCCATTTACAGCTTGAAGCAACTTTTGTAGACTTAACTTTCTCAGAAGTTGGCTTTTTGCATGTAGTCTCAGTCTCAGTTTATGTTACAGGCTCAAGGTTCTGCCAACTAACTGTTTACTTTCTGTCTGAAAACCCTCACTAACTTAGAGCTACATGTATGGCCAAGCATTACTCACTGGCTGGTCAATGTGATCTCACTAGCCTAAGAGAAACTATGTGACTTATCATGTGGTCAGGCTTTCTGCAAATGTAATATATAATCGTCCAGACTTTAGCTGTGAGAGAAGTGGTGGTGTGAGAAGCAGCTAGATTGAGCCATGTAAGAGCCGTGTAGAAAGCTCTTACAGAGATATAAATAGAGTTCTTAATTGGTCTAAGTAATAAAAACCCGGAGTCAGATATTGAGGAAGATGCTGAGAGATCAGAGAGAAGGAGCAAGCCATGTCACACCTTACCTCCTTAGCATCTTAGCAAACAAGAGAGCGGTTCCAGTTTCTCCCTGCTTATATCCTGTTTCCACCCAGCTAGTGGCAAGCTCCATTCTCTGACCTTCAGACAGGCTTTATGTGTACAAGCAAGGTATCACCACACAGAGTGTGTGTGTGTGTGTGTGTGTGTGTGTGTGTGTGTGTGTGTGCGTGCGTGCGTGCGTGCGCGCGCACGCACGCGAGAAAAGGATATAGCTGAATGGGCAGAGAGAGAAATGTGAGAGATGAAGAAGAACAAGCATGAGAGAAGTGTGAGAGAGTGAGTGAGCAGAGTGAGTGAATAAAGTGAGTGAATGATGTGGAAGTTTGTCTGTCTGTGTGTGTGAGAGAGAGAGAGAGAGAGAAGGAGGACTATGTGGAAGAGCTGCTGCTACATAAAGGACCTATGTGAAGATCTGTGTGAGAGAGTGTGAGGGAACTGTACGGTAGAACTATTTAAATGAGATGTATAGCAACGGCTGTGTGGAGATATGTGGTTGTGTGGAGTCAGAGATTTTCAGAGAGGATTTTTTCATTTTTTTAATTAGAAACAAGATTGTTTTACATGACAATCCCACCAGTTCCCTCTCCCTCCCGTCCTCCCCTAACATCCCCCCAACTAAAACCCTAGCTATCACATATCCTTTCTGCTCCCCCTGGATGGTGAGGCCTTCCATAAGGTGTCACCAGAGTCTATCGTATCCTTTGTGATAGGGTCTAGGCCCACCCCCGTGTGCAGAGAGGATTTTTTTAAGATGAAGTAAAAGATAAAGTTACCAACAGAAAGCACCTGTATCTCCTTATTTTTTCACCTCAGATAAATGAAAAAATTTTTCCTAAGCCAAATTTATGGAATTTTTTGAATACCCTGGGTACTGACTTGAGGCTGGTCCCTCAGTTAGCAGTATTTAATGTTTGATATTTTGTATTTTCTAAGTCATTTATATGTCTAACTCACCTGAAATGTATATTCCCTTTCCTCATATAACTTATTAAATGATGCCCATGTATTTTGATTGCTTAACAATTCAATTTTAAATCTTAAATGATGCTAATCCAATCCATGCCCACAATAGGAACCTAAAGTTCGTACCAAGTGTTTCTTGCCTGAAAAGTTAAATTTCTCCCAGTAAGAATAGAAATGATTGATGAAATACAAAATGCAAGCCAACGAATAGCATTTTACCTGTTCCATTTTGATCAGGAAACAGTCAATGAAGTCCCGAGGATTGTCCATGTCCAGTGTTTCTTGGTGTTCTTTCACACGTTTCAAAATATAACTTTTTATTTCAGCAAAGTTTTTAAGTGCTTTGTTATGGCTCCCTGGGAGATAATCAAGGAAGGCAGGGATAGCATTGCAGACCTTAAAGATTTAAAAATATATGTTTATTAGGCTGAATGTAATCACACACATTTGTAGACCAGTTACTCAGGAGGCTTATGTGAGTGAATCACCGGAGTCTATGAGTGTGAGAATAGCCGGGGTAGCATAATGAGATGCCCTATCAAAAAAAGGTAAAAAGAAAAGGAAAAAAAAGCCCTAAATTATTAACACATATTAAAATCATATTCCACATATACCAAGCAATAGTTAAAAGGTAGAGCAAATAAAAAAAGATGGTGGTCATTTGACAAAGAACATTTAGCTAAATATAAAAAAGAGTCAGTCCACTATGTTGACCAAGATGATCAAAGGTGAAAATTAACCACATAGTGATCAAACTCAGTTGTGAAATTTCATGTTAGTGACTCCTAACAGATAGATCATGAAGGAAACTTGCCAGACACAGTCTTGAGCAGAGATAGCTGTGAACAGATATAGCTGTTGAACTGAGCAACTCTTTTTTATTTCCCTGATTCCTTTGGTTATTTTAGGTTATGTATGAGAGTGTATTGTAGGGAAAAACCCTGATAACAGGTACTGCTGACCACACCCATCTACAAGACCTGGTTCTAAGACAGGTTCCAAAGCTACACAGAGAAATCCTGTGGCGGGGGCGGGGGGGGGGGGGGGGGGCAGTCTTCTGAAAATTACTGCAGAAAAGCAAACAAAAATGCATCAGTTTAGGGTGATAACAAGAGAGATTAGTCAGTAAACAATTGCTGCACAAATTGAGGATCTAAGGCAGCCATGTGAAGAAGCCAGACATGGGTGGCCATGCTTGTAATCTCAGAGACCTGGAGGAAGAAGCAGGCAGATACTTGGGGCTCAGTAGCCAACTGGTCTACCCTGTAGGTGAACTTCAAGCCATAGGGAGACTGTCTCTAAAACAAGGTGAAGATCCTGAGGAAGCTTGTTCTCCAAACTCCACATGCATGCATACATACACAATTAGTACATGTACCACACACGTGTACACAAACACACAAAAACAAGTAAATAAAATAACTTTAAAATATGATAAAGCACTGGGGAGAGGAAGAGCACATCTTTAATCCCTATACTCAGGAGGCAGAGACTGGAAGCTCTCTGTGAGTTTGAGGCCAGCATGGTCTACAAAGCTAGTTTTAGGATATCCAGGGCTACACAAAGAAACCCTGTCTCAAGAAACCAAAGTAAAATAAAATATGATAAAGCAAAAATATTTCTGAAGGAAAAAAAGTAGCACAGGAGAGGGAGGAGGGAGAAGAATAATGTACTAAAGTCACTTCTTTCTGAATTCTTGAAGCTTGGAGACAAAGTGTGTTGGAAGCCAGGGGTTAGATAAACATGTGGACTATTACCTTTCCCACAGTTAGTGCTGATATTTAACCTATATTGAATATGTGGCTAAGTCCACAAGAGCTTTCTTCAATAACTTTCCTTCTTTGCACAGCAGATGGCTCTGCTGTCTGCAAACAGTCTGTGATCTGAGTTGGCTCTCTCTCACACCCTTCTGAGACTTTGTCTTACTGAGAGTTGGAGAGTCAGCTCCAGTATGTCCTGAATCCTGCCTGGAAGATAACTGTACAAAATAGTTCAACACGAGGGGTATAAACATTTACCCATAAAATGCTAAGTTGGGTTTCTTAATGTCTATGTTGAACTATTTGCAAGAGCTAAGAAATGGAACCAGCTTAGATATTCATCAAAATATTGTGTGTATGTGTGTACATATACAGACAGTGAAATGTTATTTCAGCCATAAATAATGAAATCATGACGTTTCATAAAATGCATGGAAATATAGATAGGTATATAAGCATTTTGGGTTTTTGTTTTGTTTTGTTTTTCAAGACCGGTTTCTCTGTAGCTTTGGAGGTTGTCCTGGAACTCTCTCAGTAGACCAGGCTGCCCTTGAACTCACAGAGATCCACCTGCCTCTGCCTCCCAAGTACTGGGATTAAAGGCATGAGCCACCACCGCTCAGCTAATAGATAGGTATATAAGTAAAAAGGGAACAATGAGAAGGGGAAAAGATTAACAAGAAGGGGAAGGAAAGACAAAAAGATAAGGGGGAGAACTCATGTGACAGAAAAACAGAAACTCCTTAGGGAGACAAAGAGAGCTAGCAAAAGTAGGGAAACAGAGAATGGTAAGAGCAGTGAGGGAGGAAAACAAATAAGAACAAAGTATAATTGCACATACATACACAAACACACACACCCATACACACAAGTACATGAACCATAATGAAGCTCATCATTTCATGTGGTGATTTTAATTTTTTTATTTTTTTTGGTTTTTCGAGACAGGGTTTCTCTGTGTAGCTTTGCACCCTGCACCCTATCCTGGCACTCGCTCTGTAGACTAGGCTGGCCTCAAACTCACAGAGATCCGCCTGCCTCTGCCTCTGCTTCTGCCTCCCAAGTGCTGGGAATAAAGGCCCAGCAATTTTAAAATTTTTTAACCCTTGAAATTTCATGAATTTCTATAATTCACATGTTATTGATGAGAATAGATATTAAGGAATTTTGAGCAAATGTGCTATAGAACACAAAGCCATCCTTGCTATTCTTACTAATAGTTCTCAGTCTCCAGAGTGAAATCCTGACTTTATAACCAGGAAGGATACAAGAGCATGAAGAAGGAAATTGGAAAAGTGGAAAACAGAGAAGGAGACTTAACTGGGGAGAGAAGGCATACATGAGCTGTAGAAAGGAGGAATAAGCCGGGCGTTGGTGGCGCACGCCTTTATTCCCAGCACTTGGGAGGCAGAGGCAGGTGGATTTCTGTGAGTTCAAGGCCAGCATGGTCTACAGAGTGAGTGTCATGTTAGGGTCCAAAGCTACACAGAGAAACACTGTCTCAAAAAACAAAAAAGAAAAGAAAAGAAAAGAAAAGAGGAATAAATAATTCTATGCTTGAAAAAGTCATAGTGAAACATTATTTTATGTTTACTCAAAATACATATATAATAAGTATGTTGTATACATATATATGCACACACATATTTGAAATTTAATATACATATATAATAAATGAAACTGTACCACTTGGAGTGATAATGCTTCCCTCGAGAACCATAAACTATCTTACAAAAAACACCAGAGATAGATGTGGGAAATCTCCATTCATTTTGGTAGTTGGGGAAGTCCAAGAAGCTCTTCAAACAGAATAAACTGTTTCCATTGCTCTTGATTGCCTCCCAGAACTTGAAGCTAAGACTGTACTACTGCTGAAGACAACTCACACTTTGGACACACAAGACTTGGAAGAATCCAGCTATAGCCAACCTAGAAATCTCTTCCCTGAGGACTAGTTTTTACTGGTTTCAAGGGTGATACACAAGTTGCCACAGGAAAAAAGCAATTGTAAGTCTTTATGTAGTGACAAAACCTACAAACCCCACTGACCAGAACAACAAGGTATCCCCAATGATGCAATAGTGGCACTTATATCTTGGAAATAACCAAGTAGTGTCTAACGGGACTTACCTCCTGCTCAATGGGAGGGAGTTCATTAGTACTGTAAGCTATAGATTGTATATTGAATCTACTACTGCTAGCTTCCTAAATCAGTATAGTTCCTAACTACACTCTAAATATGCATCCTATACTCCCAACTAAGTGTAGCTTTCACCACTCATCAAAGAAACCTTTTCTGTTTTTCTTTGGGGGGGTTGGTTTTTCAAGACAGGGTTTCTCTGTGCAGCTTTGGAGCCTATCCTGGCACTTGCTCTGGAGACCAGGCTGGCCTCGAACTCATAGAGATCTGCCTGCCTCTGCCTCCCGAGTGCTGGGATTAAAGGCGTGCGCCACCAGCGCCCAGCAAGAAACCTTTTCTTAAAAACAGATGAATACTATTACAGAAATGCACAACTGGTTAAAATGCTGTGCACGACTGACTGTGAGGTGTCCAACCGCAATGGATAAATCTATAAAGCAACTCCTACACATCAGGATGAGGGAACGTCACAGAAGAGGAGCAGAAAGATTGTAAGAGCCAGAAGATCAGGACATCTGTTGTGAGATAGTGCCTTCTGCATATGATGGAGAAGTTGAACTCAGGAAGCCTCAACAATATGATAGTCTAAACAAGACCAGCACATTAGCAGCAACACTTGACATGTAAATGGTGGGTGTTGAGAGAAGGGGAATCATTCTTCCGGGATGATCCCCCTGATAAATTATCTAATCCCAGTAGGTCATTCTAAATACATGCACATGAGAAACACTAAATGTATTCAGTAGCTTATTCAAGATATATATATATATATATTAAAGAAGTCAATAATTTGATAGGGAGTTACAGGGAAAAGAAAAGGTGGAAATGTTGTTAATGTAATACTCAGTATGAAATTCTAAATGAGACTTCCTCCTGCAGCAGATAGGACCAAAAATGGAGACCCATGGCCAGACATTATGCAGAGAGTGACCTTGGAACACAGAGTTCTAAACAAGAAGTCTCCATTAAACCCCTCCCCTAGAGCTCAGGAGACCCTTTGGAAGAGGAGGCAGAGAAGTGGGGGAGACAGAGTGGGTGGACGACACCAGAAGAACAAGGTCTTCTAAACAACTGAACAAAACTCATGAACACTCAGAGACTGAAGCAGCAATCATAGGGCCTATGCATATCTGCACCAGACCCTCTGTGTATATGCTATAGCTTTTGGTTTAGTTCTTTTTGTTGTTTGTTTGTTTGTTTGTTTTTCGAGACAGAGTTTCTCTGTGGCTTTGGAGGCTGTCCTGGAACTAGCTCTTGTAGACCAGGCTGGTCTCAAACTCACAGAGATCCGCCTGCCTCTGCCTCCTGAGTGCTGGGACTAAAGGTGTGCGCCACCACTGCCCAGATGGTTTAGTACTTTTATGGGCCTCCTGAACGTGTCAAGGAGTGGGTCTCTGATTTTTGTGCCTTCTCTTGGGACTCCATTATTTTTATGTTGGCTTGTCTTGTACATCTTCAATATGATGGTTTTTATTTTATCTTATTGTAATTTATTTTGTTTTGATATCTCTTAGAAACCTGTTCTCTTTTAATAAGAAACAGAAAGGGAGTGGATCCCGATGGGAGAGGAGGTGGGAAGGAACAAGGAGAAAGAAACTGCATTCAGATTATATTGTATGAGAAAGGAATTGCATCTGATAAAAGGGGGAATGAGAGTGGTAGAAACAGAAATTTACACAAAAATTTTAAATTAAAAATAAACATAAGAAACTCAAATAAAGAGACTTAACTAGTGATACCATAGTAAAAATGTTCCTAGAAAGTCTATTTTATATGAACAAAAAGGGAATTGTACTTTTAAAAAAGTATCATGAAACCCAACTCAGCATTTTATGGATAAATACTATTATACACAAGAGTGGTTAAATGATTTCTACACAAGTTCACAATTATCTCCCAGGCAGAGTTTAGAACATACCACAGAATGGGATGCTGTGATACCTTCTAAAGCCCAGTCAGTCTTCCCATCTATGTTCCCAAGCATCCATTCATGATACTCTCAGAGGAGAAATTTCAGCCATATAAATTGATAAAATGTCTCTGACTTGACTGACAGATAAGCCTGTGGGTGATAGAATCTTTTCAATGAAAACCTGGATGTGCTCTGAGAGTTTCAAGATGTTTCCAGGCTGTCACCAAGTATCACCTGGAAAAGGGAGTCAGTGGAAAAATCCTAAAGAGTTGGCTTGAACTGAATTTAGGCATTGCTACTGGTCAAAAAACTGAAGTTCTCAACTAAGTCTTTGAGAAGTTCATGGCACTATGACAAGATATGGACAGGACCATGGTTCGGAAACACTCATTTCATGGGCAGGAACTTCATTCCTCCATGAAAATATTTAAAAATCAAACAAAAAAAGCCATAGATTCAACTCTGGAGAAATCAAAAGTTTACAGATACCATGTGGAAGCAGAGTTGATAAAGCAGTGGAGGCAAGTTAAAAATAATAGGGAAAGGGCTGAGGTTAAGGGAACTGGCTGCTCTTCCAGAGGACCCAGGTTCAATTCCTAGCACCCACATGGTGGCTCACAACTTTCCAAAACACCAGTTTGGGGGAATCTGATGCATTTTTCTGGCCTCTGTGGGTACCAGGCAAGTGTGTGGTGCATAGAAAGGTATGAAGATACAACCCATATACATTTTTTTAAAAGGTAGAAAGGCTTTGTGCTATTTTGTCTGCCCTTGTCCCACCTGTCTCCTTGGCTTGACAATAGCCTTGACAATGGCACTTTGTAACTCGTTTGTGGCTTCTTTTGTTGTTGTTGTGTTGAGGATCAAACATAAATCCTTGTGCAAAGTACACAAACTAGCTAAACTAAGATTTCTCTTCAGCCTCTCCCTTTATTTTTCCTTCACCTACTTTAGCCTCCTGAGTAACTGAGATAGGGGGCAGAAGGAAAGAGGGGGGAGGAAGGGTAATGAAGACTGATTCTGCTTTCCAACAAAATTTTATATACCAAGCTTCAAATTTTAACTTGTCAAGAAATAAACATAAATGATTTGTTGTGAAGAAAACATCTTAGTCTCACCTGCATCCATGGGGAGTTCAAAATTTCAAAGTTTTCATTTAATTTCTCCATCAAGTTAAGAAAATTCTCGTCTTTATAATCAAAACGATTATGAAAAACAACTGAGCAGATCACATTGGAAGGAGCACAGCTCAGAATGAAGGTGGGATCACAGAGTGAGCCTGAAGGATTGGAAACATTTTAAAACACAATTGAAACATACCTGTAAAGTCTTTATCTTTGGACTAAAAAAGCAATAATAACTTTAGAATCTCTCAGGAAGTATTGGCACAGAATTTCAATGGACTTTCTGGTTCACAGAAGAAACTAAGAATATTGGACAATGGGATAAAGCTAGAGGTGTAGATATTTCCCAAGATCAAATTCTTGGATAAAGAGATTATGCTACTTTAGAAAGGCAGTGTCAATATCATGATCATCTGTTGGGTTTATGCTATGTAGCAGGTTTGAATGCTTGAGACAGAATTGGAGAAACAGTAAAGAAAATTGAGTCATTTACAAAAGTTATATAGATTTCGTACAGTTATACAGATGTCAGCAGCAGTAAGTAGAATGATATCAGACACAGAAGCTAGAAAAATAATAATTGAAACAATGGCTTTTGAAAATGCTAATACCCAATGCAAAAGGATAATTAGGCCTTTAAAAGCAAGATCATCACCTTTGGAGCATTGGATCCGAGATACAATTAATATTGAAATTCATGCCCATGATGATGATACATCGATAGGAGAGGTTTTCAAGAGATTTGAAGAAAAACTAAAATGTTAATTTTTTAAATTATGACAGACAAGTTTACCTGAAAAGTAATTGTAATCAGGGTGTTTCTAGAAACAATTCTTTTTATAAATATAATCCAAACAGAAATCTCCTCCCTTCTGGGTTACACAGAAGTTGTGGCAAAGGCAGGTATTGGACTAAGGGCTGTAGGTCAACAAGAGATTATAAAGGTAATACCCTTCCATTGGGAAATACCCTGAGGGGACTCTTACAGGCCCCTATGCAAGACCATATGCCAAATTCAGTTCAGTCCTTTCCTTTCACCATGGAAAGCACTTCCCAGAGCAATTAAAGAGCCTATTGAAGGAAATCATGTTACTCTGGGTGATAGAAGAGATACTAAATCGAGAACAAAAAGCCATTAAAAAAAATCACAAAGTGAATATATTGGCAAACTTCTGTAAATGAATAGAGACCAAAATCAAAGTACAAATAAATGATGTTTTCATTGGAGGTCTGGTAGACACAGGTGCAAATGTAACAATTTTATCACAAGAATCTTGGCATCTAAATTAGCCTCTTCAGGAGGTAAATATTCAACTTTTAGGGATTGGAACTTTATCTCAGGTAAAACAGAACACAAAGTGGCTTGAATGTATAGGGCCAGAAGTACAGAGCAGATTATTAAAGCCATATATTGCTAATATTGCAATGAATTTGTAGGGATGAGATTTATTACAGCAATGGAATACTCAGATAAACATTCCCCCAATATTAGAAACAAAACATAAATTAACATATGGTTCTGGAAATTTTTATGGAAGGTAATATAAAGAGCAGTCACCGACCTTCCAGGTAGTACAGGAAGAGGACACAACAGCTGCTGACCTCCCAAAGACACCAACAGCCCTACCTTTAAAATGGCTGACAGAGAAACCTGTTTGAGTTGCACAATGGCCCTTAACAACAGAGAAACTACTGGCTTTAGAAGAGTTGGTACAGGAGCAATTAATGCTCAACATAATGAGGAAACAACCAGCCCTTGGAATTCTCCTGCATTTGTTATTAAAAAGAAATCATGAAATGGAGAAGGGTAACAGATTTAAGAGCTGTTAATAAGTTGATACAGCCAATGGATGCTTAGCAGTCTGAAATTCCTTTGCTTTCTCTATTGCCTAAAGGATGGCCTGTCATAGCTGTTGATTTAAAAAATGTTTCTTTAGTATACTATTACAAGAAAAAGACAAAGAAAAATTTGCCTTCACAATAATTTGCCTTATAATAATTCTCAACCTGCTAAAAGATATCAATGGAAGGTTCTCCCAAAGGGAATGTTAAATAGCCTCACCCTGTGCCAATATTTTGTGTGGTAGTCATTGTAAATAATATGTAAGCAATTTCCTTAATCTATAATTTACCATTACATGAACAATATTTTATTATCTGGTTCAAATGTAGATAATTTAGAAAGCATGTCTAAAGACATAAAGATTGCCTTGTTGGCGATTACAAATTTCTCCTAAAAAAAAAAAAAAAACACAAAGAAGAGATTTTATTAATCATTTAGGTTATAAAATGGGTTTACAAAATATTAGACCACAGAATGTACAAATTATGAGAGATCCACTGCAAACTCTTAATGACTTTCAAAGATTACTAGGAGACATTTCCCATTTATGGCACATTATTGGTATAAAACCTGTTTAACTGATTAAGTTAAACAAAACCTTAGATAGTGACAAAGACTTAAATCATCCCAGAGAATTAACAGCTGAAGCTGAGAGAGAATTGGCATTAGTGGAAGATGAATTACAGATTGTACATGTGGATCATGTGGATCCAAAGTTTAACTGGATTCTATTCTAAGCATTCCCCTACAGGAATTTTATTGAAGAGCAAAGATATTATCATAGAACTAATATTTTACCACATAAACAGAGTAAAATTTAAAAACTTATGTGGAAAAGACCTCTGAGTTGATCCTAAAAGAAAAGTTGAGCACCTTTTACTAATGATAAAATTGAGAAATTATTGTTAGAAAGTGAACCCTTCTTCCATCAGCTACTGGATGTAGGCTCTAGGATGGTATTTAAGGTAGCCATCATTCTCATTATAGGAGAAGGACATTTAAGATAGCCTCTCCACTACTGCTTAGATTCTTAGTTGGGGCCATTTTTGTGGATCTCTGGACATTTCCCTAGTGCCAGATTTCTCTTTAAACCTATAATGGCTCCCACTATTAAGGTATTTTCTTTTCTTGAAACAGAGATCCACAGCACTGAGCCAAACTCCTGGAATCTACTTGTAGAGAGGGAGGAGTGATGAACAAAAGGGTCAAGACCATGCTGGGAAAACCACAGAAACAGATGATCTGAATAAGTGCAAGCTCACAGACCCTAGTCTGACAGCTGGGAAACCAACATAGGACCGAGCCAGGCCTTCTGAATGTGGGTGTCATCCAGGAGACCTGGGCAGTCTATAGGGCCTCTGGAAGTGGAACCAGTATTTATCCCTAGTGCAGGAACAGACTTCAGGAGCACATTCCTCATGGAGGGATACTCTCTTAGCCTAGATGCACAGGGGAGGGCCTAGGCCCTGCCCCAAATGACTTGACAGATTTTGATGATTCCCTCATGGAAGGCCTCACCCTCCTTAGGGAGTGGATGGGGGATGGGGATGGGGGGTTGGTGGGGGCATGAGAGGATGGGAGGGAGAGGGAACTAGGGTTGATATGTAAAATAAGATTGTTTCTAATTTAAATAAAATCTATAAAAAAGAAGTTATATACAATGAAAGGAAGGAAGGAAAGAAAGAAAGAAAAGAAAGAAAGAAAGTTGCATAGCTAACAGAGCTAATGTGAGACTCCTTTTCAGGTAAAACACCAAGATATTCAGCTTCTTATTAAAAGCAAATAAATAAATAAATAAATAGGAGAAAGGAAGAAAAAGAGGACATTCTCATTTTTCCTTGGAAGATAAATAATTTAAATTGTTAACTTAAGTCAGACATAGTAGCATACACCTTTATTCCCAGCACTCTGGAAGCAAAGCAGGCAAATTTCTGTTCTAGCCTGGTCTACATACTAAGTTCTAGGATAGCCAGAGCTACAGGGTAAAAGACCCTGTCTTGAGAAAACAAAAGTAAACAAACAAAAAGATTTGTGTGTGTGCATTTCAGACTAAAAAAAAAAATATCTAATTTCTGGTGCTGGAGACCTCCTTGGCAATTAAGAGCACTGACTACTATTCCAGAATCCCTGGGTGACTTGTGGCTCACAACTCTAGTTCCAGGGGATGCAATGTGCTCTTCTGGCCTCTGCAGGCATGGCATGCATATAGGCAAGACACCCATATAAAGTAAAACTGGAAATAAATAAATCTCAATTTTTTGAGCTGACTTCTAATCTATTCTTATATTTAGGAAAGATAAATCTCAAAGTAACTTAGAATACAAGCTGAAAAGCCAAATTCACTTTGATGAGCATTTCATGAGTAGAACTAGCATCAGGGTAAACTAATTATCATAAAAGTTCCAAGTCAAAATTCTAGTGGTTTAATATGCACCCAGAATTTCCTTTTTATTCAGATACGGTGAGGACAACAAATCAGATTAGAATCATAGGGAAGACTGGTGGTTACAGCGCCCAAGAGGAGGCAAACCATATCACATGGGGTCAGTCAGGGACGGCATCAGGGTTGGTCTGCAGGAGAGTTCAGAGAGGTCAGGAAACCAACTATTGTAGAGGGTAAAAAGGCCTTGTGCACACAGACAAGCGCTGGCAGGAATCCAGGAAAGTTAAACACACAGCTTACCTCTTCATTGGAATTAGGTGCATAGCTGCTCTTCCTGGAATGCCAGGAAAGATGTAGTAGTTTTATGCCCTGATGATCATTTTCTGTCTGATGGGACAGGCTCTGTTCTCCCAGAAGTTACATTTTCACTTATCCCAGACCTTTCCCCCTAAACCTTGAGTATTGTTTTTAGACCATAAAACCCATTCTTGTAAGTGATGTTACTTGTGCTTTACAACAGCCTAAGTGACTCCTGTGCTACCTTAGGGCCAGGCCAATCCTGACGTCCTCGGTGTTATGTGTACCACAGTCAAGTTCCCTAGACCCTAAATCTTGGGCACTATTTCTGAGTCAATGGGACCCAATCTTGTGAAAGAAGCCGGATGTACTTTGTAAGGGATCTCAATGTAAACATGTCTTGAACTGCTGTGCACTTGGGGCTTAGTTAATTGTTACCTGAATATTGTTATCTGAATACTTTTTTCCAAAATTATGCTGCACTTAAATATGACTAAGGTAAAAATGATCTGAGTCAGACTCGAGAAGTCTTAGTCTAGAGCTGGTTACAATAAAATCGGGCTGAGATGAATTTCACTCTTGTCTCTTCATGCATTGTTTTTTGGTTTTGGTTTTGGTTTTGGGATTTTTTTTTCTGCCTGCTGGAAAGCCTGCAGGGTGTTAGGACATTCACAGGAGGAAGGCATGAAGCAGGGTGAGAACACTGAGTGAAGCCTCATTGATAAAGTAGTCTCAGAGGCATCTAAGCCATAAGGATGCTCTTAAGGATCTCATACAGTGCTGTGGGATGACCCGGGGCAAAGAAAACACAGGATTATCATTTGAGAATTTGATAAAGGAAACGCTTGGAAGACTGGGCTATGGTTAGGTCCCTTTAAAAATCCAAGGCATGTTTTCTGTGACTAGGAAATAGCTAAGCCTGGGAGTAAAGGCCCCTCCCTAGATCTGAAAAGCATCTATGAGTCAAAGATTGCAAAATACAGAAAATTAAAACATGTAAGTTAAAACTAACTTACAATTAGGGGGAAATAGCGTAGAATTAATAGTAGTTGAAATAGGTTAAATAAATAATTTCATACATGTTACATATTAGCAGAATTCCGTCAGAGCACATATTTACTCAAGAGATATGAAATAGCACAGCAAATACCGATTAACATCAAATTACCACTGAGAGTTTTTAAACAGCCCTTTGTTTGCAGAGTCAACACAACTGATGAAAGTAGCACTCAAAGATGTTTATGTAAAAGAAAATAAAAACATGGTTCGTATCATTATTGACAGAAGTTGCAGGTATGGGTCTTGAGGCAAATCTGTGTCACTGTGTCACTAAAGCTGACCAAGCAGATATAGACCACCTTAATGACAAAACATGCCACTTCCTCATACCCATGAAATTATGATGGGCTCATTCATACCACATACACTTAATGAATATCCTCCAAGAAAACATTCCAAATAATAAAGTCATAATCACACTAAAAGGAACTATTACCCCATATGAAGTTTTTATGAGACTCAAAACTTTCTGGCTTCGCAATAGTCAGGTTAGAAAATAAGCTGTGGCAGAATGGGATTAGATGAGTATCATGACCACACTGTATGAACAGTCAGTGTGTACAAACACAAGGACAGAAAGGCAAAGCTCTGTCATTGGGCGCTAGCATAAGAGCGAACAACCACTGCCCAGGAGTAGCTGGCTACCGCTGCCGTGTTGAAAGGGCGGCATTAAGGAAGAGCAAAGTAAACGGTACCCACCGTTCGTTTTTCTTAACTCTTCCACAAGGCAGCGTGCTTCCTCTTGAATGCGGTCCTCGATGCTTCTCTTCCCCATCCCAAAATTCCTCAAGGTCATAAGTGAGAAGCGCCGAAGCTCCTTCCATTTTGTTCCATTGCTGAAAACGATTCCTACCAGAACAGGACATGGAAATAGAAGGGAGACCCCAGACAACGAAGAAGAACTGGCCTCTGACTGCCACTTGGCTCCCGCCCCGTCTCATCCCCATGATGCCTGGCCAGCACACACCTGCATACACAGGCATGCACATCCATGCACATAAGGGCGCATGCACACTCACCAAGGCCATTATTCATTCTTTCAACAATTGGGAAGTTACCCCTTCCAGAAAACTCCTCTCCAAGGTCATCCAGTGCCTCCTTTACTGCTTCATATCCGTGTACCACGACAGTGGGCTTCATGCCAAAATACAGAGTGAACACGGGGCCATAAACTTTTGAGAACTGGAAATTTAAAAAAAAGAAAGAAAGAAAATTCATGTAGCAGCAGAAGAACCTAGAAGACCTGGGCTGGTATTAGCATCTTACGCCCCTACATTTGTAGTTTGCCAACCACAACTTCAAATGTAGTTGGATTCAATCCCTAAAAAGCTGTCTGCTACAGCTTTCAGGTGCATCGTGAGTCTAGTTTCCCAGGGGACGGCCAGGCAAATAATGTGCAAACTGTCAGAACCATGACACTTTGAAGTAAGTTTATCTGTGGGTTTGCTGATAAAGAGAGTGACAAAGAAATCTCAAGTTCATTTTGGTTTCCCATGGGCACAAAGTCAAGACTCAGATTTGAACCCTGCTCAGGGATCTCTTGTACTTGAGCAACTCACCAGTTCCCAGCATCCACATTGAAACAAATACTCAACTGTGAAGGACACTACTTCAGGACTCGGCTGGGCTCTTCTCACAGGGTCTGACTCGGTCGCCCTGTGATAAATACTGGAAAGCCACCATTTAAAAACTCTCCCTCAATGAGTATGATACCAGGCAGTTTGTAACCCTGATATTACTAAGGGACAGATAGCAATTGCACCAGCACACGAAGTGTCCCACAGAATTTCTTCCACATGGCTCATTCCTAGGTCAGACAGCAGCTTTGTACAGAGTCCAGAAACACTGGTGCCCCCAATAGACCTTCCTAGGTCTATGTCATGCACATATGTTTAATGTGACTCAGGTTCCCTTGACATCAGATATGAATTGTTTCTTTGAAGAAATTAAATTATTCTTGCTAACTTAAACATAATACACAACATGTATATAGGTGACTTCTCCAGTAAATTCTCAAAACAATTCCATTACCTTTTAATAGCTAAAGACCATAAAGCAGAAAAAGTAGCTGTTCTCTGCTATATGGACTTTATCTTACAGTGTAAAATTTCTAATCTGGACAAATACATTATCTCATTTAATCATTTCTGACAATGACAGTCCAAATATGATAATCCATAGGGCACAATTGCCTTATAGTAAGTAACACAGTTTAACCATTTGCCTCCAGAAGTGTATTTATTTAATAGCAGAGATTAATTTTCTCTTTCCAACCACTGTGGAGCAGGAAGTATACTTACGTTGGCTAAGGATTTGCTGATGTCCTTTATATCTATCTGCAGGATGTTTCCAATAAGTGGGAGAGGAGTGGGACCAGGAGGGAGCCTCCCTCTCCCAGAGTTCTGTCTCCAGACTAAGAGGAGAAGCAGACAGGAGACAGTGAGCACCAGGACCAGGACTGGATCCATGGCAGCCTTCTCTTCTTAGGGAGACACCTGTGAACTTGCAGTCCCGGGCTTTTATAATGCTAGCTGCTAACTCAACATGTACCTCTGAGTGTAAGTGACCAATCAATGAGGCGCACTTTTATCTCTCTTCTGGGTGGACTCTGGCCTGTTGGAAAACACTAAAGCTACTCTTTACAATCTCACTGCCTGTCCCCACACCAAGCTGTTGTAACTAGTCTGGAGTTGGACTTGGCCCAGGTACTTTTGTGGGCTTTTTACTGTTGTTGTTATGCTTTTACTTGTAGGGTGGGGCATATTTCAATACCTTAGGTAGTTCCATTTGCATTCTGAAGCCCAGATTGAGGTGCAATGAATTAACTATTTGTTTTCATGTATGAATCTGGGTATACATGCATGTGCATACATATACATACAAGTGCATGTGGAGGTCAGAGGTTGACTTCTGGTGTCTTTATTTTTTGTTTGAGACCAGATTCCTCACTGAACCTGGAGCCCTGCAGATCATCAGTTTGGCCAGTGAGCTTCAGGGATCCTCTTGTCTCTGGCCCCCACCCAACACTGAGTTTATAGAGAACGCAGCATTTGCTTGGGTGTTGAGGGAACAGAACTCAAGTCCTCATGATTTCACGGTGGATACTTTATCAACTGAGTCATTTTTCTAGAACCTGAAGTAAATTGCTTGTGCAAAACTCATTCCAGTTTCTGGACTGGGAACCAGTTGGGAATTTAGGATGTTGGAGATAATCCATGTACTTAATCCCTAGTCTATAAAATACGATGTAGCCAGTGGTGCTTCTCAAACATCAGGATACTCTCCTTGAGACTGAAAGTCTCATCCAAGATTTCAGCATTCTGTGTCTAAAGAGAAAAAATGTGTATCATAACTCAGATGTCTTTGATTTGGGGGGAGTCCTTTTCACCCCTGTGTATCATCTTAGTCTTTCCACAAACCCAGTATCCTACTGCCTCTACCTCCATTTTCACTTGGAAAATGTGCACATTTTAACTGATCCAACATGTATCAAATTAGCTGAGTAAATGTATGCATATTTTACCATTAAATGCCCTAGTAGTAGTAGTAGTAGTAGTAGTAGTAGTAGTAGTAGTAGTAGTAGTAGTAGTAGTAGTAGTAGTAGTAGTAGTAGTAGTAGTAGTAGTAGTAGTAGTAGTAGTAGTAGTAGTAGTAGTAGTAGTAGTTTGGTTTTTCGAGACAGGGTTTCTCTGTGGCTTTGGAGACTGTCCTGGAACTAGCTCTTGTAGACCAGGTTGGACTCGAACTCACAGAGATCTGCCTGCCTCTGCCTCCCCCCCCCAGTGCTGTGATTAAAGCTGTGTGCCACCAACACCTGGCTCTAAATGCCCCTTTAAAACACTTATAATAGGGATTTTTGTTTCTAATTGTTGTTTGGGGATTTTTGGGGTTTTTTTTTTTTAATGGATAAAGGCAGTCTGGGGCATAGCAGACCTATTGTATCTTGTACCTCATACATGGGAGAACTGAGCGTTGAGATGAGATCTGTTGGCCATTGTAGTGTTCTGTGGCTTACACTGAGGCTATCCAGAGGGCAAATTAAAACCAGCCCCCAACCTCTAATTATTCTGAAGGTACGGCACCCTGATTTGGTTCCTACAACAACAGGCTTCACACTAAATAGCTCTTATTTGACTCAGATGTGTCCAGGGGAAAAAACAAAACAAAAACTGAACCAGTCTCACCTCTGCCAAGATGAAGGGAGGGTTATACAATGCTCTCCTAGTTATCTTTGAAGGGGTTTTGACAGTTTGGTTCCCACAGTTTTCACACCAATCATATGCCTTAGATTCTTTCAGTTACCCTTGCCTAAGGTAAAATTCTTTTTCAGTGCTGAGGAAGTTGGGCCTTAGAAACTCACACAGACTAAGGATGGTAGAACTAAGACCAGAAACCATGTCCCTTGCAATTTGCACCCTTCTCTCCAGACTTCTGGTTATCTGGGTTCACCATGAACCATGATCAATATTTCATGACTCAAGTTGTGAATGTCACATGAACATGAATTTAGTTAATAATTACAGCTCCTGTGTGTTAAGATTGGTGTTGGAAGATCAGCTTATAACACTCATTGCTTGAATGAATGCAGGGATTGGTGAATTCTTTATCCAAGGCAAAGAGAAGCAGCCTGACTCACATCACCCTAAAATCTAATAGCTGCAAACCACAGTCAGTTCTCTTTAGAACAATTGTGTTTTTCTTACAGCAGTCCTTACCACAAGCCTGTACTGTGTGTTTGGACATTGAACCTCTGTAACTGTGAGCTAAAAGAAATCTTCTTTCCTTCATAAGCAGCTGTTCTATTTTCATTTCTGTTGCTGTGATAATAATATGCCCCAACCAAAACCATCTTAGAAAAGAGGGGATTCATTTTAGCATACAGTTCCAGCTTACAGTCCAGCCTAGTGAGTAAATCAGGGCAGGAACTTCAAACAGCTAGTCATCACATTCACAGTCAAGAGCAGAGAGAGATGACACACACACTGGCTTTCACCTCTCAGCTTGATTTCTCTCTCCACTCTTACGTGGTTCAGAAACCCCTTCCTTAGGGTGGTGCCAGTCACAGTGGACTGGATCTTCCCACATCAATTAACTCAGTTTAAAACAGTCCCCCATAGCCACCTCCACAGGCCAAACGAAAGGACACAATCCCTCATTGAGACTCTCTTCCTAAATGATTCTAAGTTGTATCAAGTTAACAAAGTTAACCACCACAGTAGCCTATATCAGGTAGTTCCTTATAATAATGAAAAAGTAAGATTAATTCACTTTACAACCACCCCACAATTTTTCTGTGATAGTATTATTGACACTCATTTTATTTCTAATATAAAGCTATTTTGAATATTGTTAATATATACATTCGTATGCATTTTTTGGTATTACAATGAATTACATTTGTGTTTATCATGTACCTATAGTAGAAATGTTAAATATGTATGCACCCAAAGTAAATTTTTCGAAAGAATGATTCAAATGTTTGTCCTAATTTACAACTGTACTGTGAATACCAGTTGCTACAATCTATTGACACATGAAGTATAATCTTTTAATTATTATTTTAACTATTCTGACAAATTATATCTCACTGAAGTTTTTGTTGTTCGGGGGTGATTTTTGGTTTTTATTTTATGTGCATTTGTGTTTTGCTTGCATATATCTGTGTGGGGTTGTCAGATTCCCTGGAACTGGAGCTACAGAAAGTTGTGAGCTGCCATGTGTGTGTTGGGAATTAAACTGGATCCTCTGGAAGAGCAGCCAATGCTCTTAACATATGAAACATCTCTTCAGTCCTTCAGTGAAGTTTTCATTCAAATTAGCATGAAGAATATTAATGCTAAACACATTTTCAAATGTCTTTTGCCAATATAACTCTTCTTGTGAAAGACTTTTTTTTGTTTTTTTGAGACAGGGTTTCTCTGTAGCTTTGGATTACATTACATATTTTGTATAATATAATCTTCATTTTTGTATAATATAATCTTTATTTTTTTAACAATCATAAGTATACTAATAAATGATCAGTTTACATAGAGCATTGTTACATTCAGTACCATGAAAAGTAAACTACCTAATTATTTCTAAAGATCTATAATATTATACTGTATATTCCCTAAAACAAAGGTGATTTTTCCTATGTAACTTTAGTCAAATAATCATGGCTAGGAAATAATATTGGTAATTCCTCATTCTTAATTGTGTTCTACCAATAAGTCCCAAAGTTATTTATCACGTCTCGCTGGAAACTCAGTTCAGAATCCATCTTCATGTTACAAAGATTGTCCTATCACGTGCATTATTTCAGTCTTTCCCTAACTTATATGACTTTGGCATTCACTAACAGAATATTCCCAAGGTTTATAAAATGCTCTTTGATTTGCACTTATTTGATGCTTCTAAGTACTCAAGTTAATTTTAAGTATCTCTGGTCGAAAGGTCACAAAGTAAGTTCTTTGTTTTTCTAGATGACAAGCAATTAAGACCTATTTCATTATTAATGATGAGTTTCATAGTGCTGGAAGGTGCTATGTACACTTATAAAGGAGAAAATGAACCATCAGTCTTACCCAGCTGGGAACCCTGAAAGATACAATGGCAATCAGTCTGGCAGGGTTTAGCCAGTGGAGCAATAGTGGCACAAATATCATGAGAGTTACCACTTTCTGCTGAGATCCACAACCTGAAATCCTGTATCTGGTACTATTATCTGGACAAGAACCTATAGCTAGACAGGACATAGATAGACGGGAGAACCCACAACTGTTAGGATGCTAAACAGATACAGAATTAAACTGACTCTTTTTCATATTCTCTTTTTTATTAATTAATCAATGAATACTTTTTTCAGCCAGATCACAGTTTCCCCTCCCTCCTCTCCTCACGGTCCCTCCCCCCAATCACACGGCCCTCTGCTCCCATCTGCTCCCTCTCCCTTCCCTTCGGAAAGGTGCAGGCCTCCCATGTATATCAGCCAGCCATGGTATAGCAAGGTGCAGCAAGAATAGACACATCCTCTCCTATTAAGGCTGGACAAGGTGACCAGCAGGAGGAAAGGAGCCAAAGAGCATGCAACAGAGTCAGAGACAGCCTCCACTCCCTCTGCCAGAAGTCCCAAAGGAAGACCAAGTCACACAAATGGAACACATGTGCAGAGGGCCTAGGTCTCTAGGGCAAGTTCTCTGGTTGTTGGTTCAGTCTCCATGAGGTCCCATGATGGAATCTCAGAGTCTTTTTGATTTGCATTTCCCTGATTGCTAAAATGCTGAAAATTCTTTAGTTGTTTTTCAGCCATTTAAGACTCCTCTGTTCAGAATTCTGTTTAGATCTGTACCCCATTTTTGTAAACTGAACTATTTGGTTTTTTGGTGGGTAGTTTCTTGAGTTCTTTATATATTTTGGAAATCAGCCCTCTGTCAGATGTAGGGTTGAAGAAAATCGTTTCCCATTCTGTAGGCTGACGTTTTGTTCCTTTGACAGTGTCCTTTGCCTTACAGAAGCTTTTCAGTTTCATGAGGTCCCATTTACTAATTGTTGATTTAGTGCCTGCATGATGGGTGTTCTGTTCAGGAAGGCCATGTGTTCAAGGCTAGTCCTCACTTTCTCTTCTGTCAGGCTCCGTGTATCTGGGTTTTATGTTGAGGTCTTTTATCCACTTGGACTTAAGTTCTTTGCAGGGTGATAGATGTGGGTCTAGATTCTTCTAGATGCTAACATCCAGTTATGCCATCACCATTAGTTGAAGATGCTTTCTTTTTTCCATCATACATTTGTAACACGAAAAAAACAAAAGACTTAGAGACAGATATTGGGATTCAACCTAAAGATCAGGGAAGCAAAGCAGCCAAGCTACCAAAGAGCTCTTTCCTCTAAA